ACTGAGGTTGGCCAGTTTCTACAGCAGCCTAGGCTGGAATTTAGGAAGCCAGACAACAGAATGGGAACCCCAAGAAAGGACTGGATCATCATCAACAGCAGGAATGTCTAGTTCTATAATCATTGGGAATCAAGGGACTTATAATCCAGTTGGGAGGGCAGGAAGGCAACATAATGTCTAAAGAAAGGAGTATCAGGGTTTGGGATCAGGGTCTCTGTATTTCACAAATCAGGCTACAGGATCCATAAGCTTCTCGTCTCATCCTGGGTTGGAGAGAGGGCCTGGTCCCTCCCTAGAGCACCTTAGAGGCAGGGAGAAGGGGTTCCGCCTAGCCAATCCTCGTGATGGTTGCTACGGAATTTCCATGCTGGGCACACTTGATGTTCAAAGCCACAGTTCCCAAGAGACCCAGCACCACAGCAACCACACCAGGAAACTGGGCCAGGCTGAAGGATTGGAGGAGACAGAGAGGAGGAGGGTGGGGGCAAGGGGGCAGGCCTGTCAGACCAGTCCCTGACAACTGTGGCCTCCTATGTGGAGGCCCTATGGCCTGAATCAGGGGCCCCCATGATCATCATTCAGCCTTCCTCAGCTTGACCCTTAAAAACTCTTCATTTTCACTCTGGATCCCAGGAACAAAGGGCAATTTCAAGTCCCCATGGATGTGAAAATATTCATATTCATCTTGATGTTCTTAGTCCAAATTAGCGTTGAAGGGGCAAGGACCAGAAGAGGAGGCAGGTCAAGGAGGAAGTTCCAGGAAACACTTGCCCAAGGGCACATGCATATGTGTGTTTACACATATACACACGTACACATACACATACATATACACACTCACGTACATACACACTCCTGCTTACACACATGCACACACACACACACACACAAACACACACACACAATCTTTTCAGGTCTGTGGTTCAGAAGAAACTGTCTAAACCTCAGAGAGAATCAAAGCCTGGAGATACCCAGGTTTCCCTCACAAAGATAGTGCCAACTCCCCAGGAGCTCCCAAAAGCTGACCGTCACGGGTCACTCCCAGAGTAAGGTCTTAGGAGTCTCCAAGGTCTCTCCACCCCCTGACTTTCCTATTAGTCTGAAAGCCAAGAGACAGAAGAGTATCCAGAACAGGGTCAATGTGCCCTAGGGAGCCCACCTGTGCAACTGAGGCAGCTTCTACAAGCGTCTACGAAGGGAGGCCCCAAACTCCTTCCCCCAACTCTCACAGCTGCTAGAATTGCCTCCTCTCTCAGGAGCCCTGGCACCTGATGTTCATGCCTCCAGTTGTGCTAAACGTGGCTCCCTGCACCTTCAGTTCCCCATACTGGGATGACCTGTGCGGAAGCAGGGAGGTTTCCCAAGAGAAGATACCCCTGTTCTCCCAGGGTGAGAGCCGTCATCAGGAACTTCAGGCTTTATGCAAACAAACCACTTCAAGGTTCCAGAAGATTGATGTGGACATGCACCCCAGATGGGCCCAGAGGTGTGTGCCCCTGGCCTTTGCTCATCCTGGGTATCCTAGACCAGGGGTGCCTGAGCCCAGGCGTTTTCTCCAACCTCTTCTCTTCAGCTCTCTGCTGCCCTCATGTGGCTCCCTCAAGAAGGGCTGGGGAGGCACGATGGCTCCACAGTGCCAGCACAGGAGCCCCCTTTAGACAGGCAACATCTCCCACTGCCTGAGCCCTAAGCACCCCAGACCCGGCCCAAAGCCCCTCCGCCAAGCATCCAGCCTCCACCGTATCTTCTGGAAGCTGAGCAAACCTCTCTGCTCCCAACCCAACCAGCATGAGTTACTTCAAACGGAGGCTCCTAGCCGAAGAAGGGTGCTCCCCTCCCTCTGCTGGGTTGCCCCCCTTCCCTTCCCTTCCCTCCTTTCCCCTCCATTCCCCACCCAGGCCTTGCCAGCAGGCAGGAAGGAAGCTGCTCATAGTGGGGAGGGTGGGGCACTTCCAGCTCACACTGAACAACTCCGGGTTGGGCTATAAAGAGTCAGGGCCTTCCGCTCCCGTCACCCGCCACCCTCAACAGCCCCCGCAGCCCTACACACGCCCCTTCAAGGCCAGAGCCTTCCCTCCCCCAAGGTCAGGGCATCCCATCTCAAGCCCTGCCCATTGCTCTGCTCTGAAGGGAAGGCAAGAACAAGGTTTGCATCCTTCTCAGGGAGCAGGAGGAGCCACAGGCCTGGCTACCTACCTAAGAAGGGTCTGTCACCTGCACGGACCAGGGCAGATGGGGGTGGGGTCTGAACCAGCCTTCCCAATGGCAGAAAACACAGCCACTGCCAGGGACCCAGGGGTTGGGCTCCCAAACGGATTCTCTTCAAAGACCTTCCAGCTTAAAGTCCCACAATCCAAAATTAAAAACTTTCCTATCAGTGGAACTTCAAGTCTGCAGGTCTTGAAATTTTTGTCTTTTCAGAAATTACTCTTTAAAATGCACCTGCTAATAAGAGCAATGGTCCACTGAGCCGCATAAGCCTTAATGCCCTAGCAGGGATGACTGACAAAGAGCAAAGTGGAAAAAGACATGACTGGGCAGGGCCCTGAGGAGGGAAGAGAAAGGCCCCAGCCCACGGGTGGAAAATTCGGGAAGGCCAGAGTCCCTCACCGGAAGTTAGGACCCACAGGCCGGTACTGGCCACAGCCCCAGGAAGAGTGGGAGAGGAAAAACTTCCCTGTGGTGAAAGATAAAGCCTTTCTCTGTCTTTCCTTTGACGCTTTCTCCTCTTCCTAAAACCTCTGCCATGGCTTCCTCTGCCCAGATCAACGTCAATATAGCCATCAGCGCCACCGCGCCTCGTGACCAGAAAATGCCCCTCCTTGGGACCCATCACCTTTCACAAGACTGACGCTTTATTTCGGTTCATCCAAACCTGTCCCACCTCAGCCGACCCCTTTCTCGGTGGCCCCTCTCCCCTGCCTCCGGAACACAGCTTCCAGTCTCTAGATGGCTGCACATGCTCACAGCTAAACAACCAATGTTCGTGAAGCATATACCTGGTACAGTGCACTCAGGCCCAACAGGATCCCAGATGAGAAGAACTTGACCTGGGTCTTCCGGAGCACGCACGTTCATGGGGGAGAGAAGTCAAAGACAGACGGCAAAGCTGCCCAAGAGCCATCCCTGGGAGGAACCAGAGCAAGAGATATTCCCAGGGCCTGGAGGCAGGGGAGACAAAGAGTGGCCTGGGGGGTGGGGCAGCATAGAGAGAGGGGGTGCCGAGGGAGGCCTCACAGAGGAAACATACTGGGGCTGTGTGGTGGTCAGGTCCTTCAGGAAGCACAGCGAGAAGGAGCTAGAAGTCAAAGACATCCATTGGGAGTCATGTCTGTGAAAAATAAAGGGAAGGCAATGGAAGCTTCCAGAACAAGATGCAGGTCTGATATCTGTGAATGGAGAGAAGGAACAAGGATCAGCCAGGAAGAGGCTCAGACCACAGTGAGCCCTGGGAGGCTCTCTGTCAGGCCAGCGGGGGCTCTGCATAGTGAAGACCCAGCAGAATGGGAAGCAGAAGTGGAAAGGGGCCTGAATCCACCTCCTGCCTTGCTGGGAGAAGGGGGCGAGTGGGGTGGCGCCTCGGGCTCCGGGACCCTCAGGGGCGGGTCTGGATTGGGCTTGGACCTTGTGCGTCTGCCTCCCACTTGCCCCTTTGCCAGAGAGCGGGAGCAAACCCTCTAGGTGTTCAGGAGCTGAGGCCACTTTGTGTTTACAAGGTCCCCTCACCCACCTCCCCCCAGGCTGGCAGACCCTACCTTCCTGGTGTGACCCCAGAGCTCACGGTACAGCCTGTTCCTTCCGGCTGATCCGCCTGCCCGGCCCCCACCCAGGCCCACCCCAACCTTACCCTCCACTGCTTTTCAGAGGAGCCCAGCCAACACAAATCTCCGTGTTTGTTTGTCTGCCTGTCTGCCTCTCCCAGTCTCTGCCTCTCCCAGTCTCTCACCTTCCGTTTCTTTCTCACAGCTTCTGTGAGTCTCTGTGGTCTCATAGCCACGAGGCTCTGACCCCTAGACCGGAGTGCCCCAGCTCAAAGCCTCTCTCCGGCCCCCCGCCAACCCTGTGGCTTAGAACTACAAACCCCAGTTTGCACGACGACCCGAGGCGCCTGAAGAGGGCTGCTGTGCACCTCCTGCACCCTGGGTATTGTAGTTTCCCCGTCCCTGCACTCTTGCGAGATCTTCCCGGTGGGCAGGCCCTGCCTCAGCACTGACCGCTGGGCCTATCCGCTGACCTACCACCCCCGGGGAAGCGTGCGTCACTGGATGACAGGGTGGGGGTGGAGGCCCTGGATGGCAGCTTCCTGCTCTTTTGTGTCCCCCATTTGAGTCATGGGGGGCGGGGGTTCCAGGAAATTGGGGCTGGGAGGGGAAGGGATACCCTAATGCCAGACTCAAGGACAAAAGGTCACTGAATCCTTGTTGAGCCTGTATCCCCAAGAAGCTAAAGGCACTCAAAGGTGGGGGTCCAGGAGGGCTTAGCTGTAGACAGAGTGGGGAAGGAGAGCACCCGGAGGGACCCTAGGGGTGCCCGTGGTCACTAGGAGTCTGGGAATCGTCCCCTGCTACTGACACAGCGTTCGCCTCCCACCCAAGTACTCGGGGCAAGGCCAGCAAGGGCAAGGGCCAAGTCCTCCACTCTGGCCAGACAACACTGACAGGCCTCTCTGACCCTCTGGTTGTCCACCCTGCCGACTCCTCCCCTAACCCCTACCCCCTCCCTCACTCCCACACTGCCCCAGGGCTCCAAGAACACCTGGCTTCCCACTTATCAGTCCTAGTCCTTTGAGCGGAACCCAGGCGTCCGGCCCCCCACCCTCTGGGCGGGCTTGGAGCCCAAGGCTTTAGAGCCTCCCAGCCTGCCTTGTTCCTGTCCCATTGTGTGTGGGGCAGGGGCGGGGCAAGGGCCAGCACCGGAGAGCCCCCTCCCACTGCCCCCTCCCCTTCCTAAGGAAAAGGCCTGGGCTCTGCTCAGAGTGCCAGAGCGGAGGCGAGGCTGACATGGGCAATTTGAAGAGTGTGGGCCAGGAGCCGGGGCCTCCCTGCGGCCTGGGGCTGGGGCTGGGCCTGGGCCTGTGCGGCAAGCAGGGCCCAGCCTCCCCGACAGCAGAGCCCGGCAAGGCACCGGCACCCGCACCCCCACCCCCACCCGCGCCAGACCGCAGGTAAGGGCCCTGGAGGCGGCGAGAAGCACGGGGCAGGCAGGAGGGTGTCAAGCCCTAAAGCCCCAGGCTGGGAAGGGCTAGAGCCTGTAGCCCGGCCAGGAGGACCAAGTCGCCCGCACAAAAGGGCAACCTACCGGTGTGGATAGAACAGGACAATCAGGGAGGTTCGGAGAAGAGACCAGGGTCAGGACCAGCAGGCAACAGGTGAAAGCGGGAGGTAAAGGTGCCAGTTTACCAGGTTTGAATTGCTACTCTGCCGCCAAGAGCTGTTTGACTTTGAGCAAGTTACTTCACCTCTCTGAGCGTTTATACATAACAGGGATATAGCAGTAATTACTCCATGGGATTGTTGCGGGTTTCTGGCTCACGACAAGCCTCCAACAAACGGTGAGGGTTATTTAAGAGAAGAAAGGGGCCGGGGAGGGTAGTTACGGGGGAGTGAGAAGGCAATCTAGAAGGGGAGAGAGTCGGCCCCCGGGAGACTCAGGACATTGGCATGGGAGGCTGAGAAGAGAGCAAACAGGCCGCATTCCTCTCCTCCAGGCTCCACCTCCTAGCGGCTGTCAACCCCAAACTAACGTGGTACCTTCAGCCCCGAGAAGAGAGAGAGGGCGGCTGAAGGCCAGGTGGGGTGCCAGGCCAGGCAGGGTGGCAGGGCCGGAGGCAGCTCCACGGGGAAGGCTCCGCACTGGCGCACCCAAGGTCCGAGGCCCTCCCTTCCTCCCCGCGGCTGGCCTCAGCCTCTGGGAGGAAGTGATAAGGCCTCTGAGGCCTCCTTTCACACAACAGTTACTGTCAGCAGGGGGTGACTGGGGAGGAAAATCTGGGCTGAGGAATCCCAGGGTTTCCCTCAGCTCAAGGGTGGGTTCCATCCCCCTCCAGGTAGGGTTCATCACAGCTCCGGGGGGGTTGGACCCCCCTGTCCAGAAGGGGTGAGGTGGGCCCTGAACAGGGATGAGACCCAGCCTTGGGCCAGGGGCTCAGGAGCTCAGTGCTTGCAGCCCTGGGCAGCCCAGGGTCTGGCGACTTGGGAGACAGGTGGGCCTGGGTTTTAAAGGGACCAGTTCTACCCATGTGGCCACTGGCAAGATTCCTAACTTTTCTGAGCCTCAGGTCCCTCCTCGTCTGTAAACGAGGATGCAAATATATTATCCACCTCCTAAGGTTTTCGAGGGGGCTGACAGAGAAAGTGTAGGAAAGCACATGGCAGGCAAGCAATCAATCACTGCGGTTCTGAATGTTGTCGGAGGGGTCTCTGGGGGAAAAAAGTTCCTCCCCCATGACCCCTCCCCTGGGTCCCAGCAGTCCCCCGCTCACCAAGCCCCCGGAGGGGCCCAAGTTCCCTCGTGTGAAGAACTGGGAGGTGGGGAGCATCACTTACGACACCCTGAGTGCCCAGGCACAGCAGGTAAGGCCGGGAGCCCTCCCCGTCCCCTGTCAGGGTCAGGGGGGCGAAGGCCAGTCCCCTCTAGAACTCGCCCTTTGGTCTCCAAAGACAAGAGAGACTGGGAAGAGCCAGAGGAGTTAAGGGACGCCCAGGGGACTTTGGTGACTCCCGGCCTCCCGCCCTTGCCCCAAGTCCTACCATAACCTGGCACAACCTCACCCCTACTTCCAGTCTCGGTCCCAGCCCTGAACCCACACCTGCCCAGACCCACCCTCCCTCTGCCCCCTCCCCTGC